AAAAAAATAGATCATTAATAACGAAAATCCGATCATCACTGTAGAATATTCTGTAAGAAAATGGTCACGCCGTGTTCCTGTTACATTCTAAAGATACTAAAAGACTTGTACACCTATCCAAGTTCAACAAGCAGGCAGTAAGATCTTACAAGAATTCTACAGTGCGTTTTAATGTAAAATGTGTTAGGTCACCATTCTAGTATGATTTCAGCTGATCTTACAAGATAAAATACTTCAAAGATATTTATATTTACTTATTCACTTTTCCAAAATGACTAATATCTGTTTATGGTAGATGTCGTTGTCTCAATGAATAGCATGATGCCGAATCCTGTTTTATTTTCATTACTGAGAATAGGAGAGACGATTAGCAGCTTATGAACGAGCTGATGACATGAAAGATGGTCGTATTCTTCAAAACTTTTTCTCATAATCTACTTTCGTGATTTAAATTTTGTGTTCCAATTTACGTAACTTTGCTTCAAATATTTTTTTTGTCGTTGAAATAGTAAACTTTGCACACATGTGATGAAACAAAATAAAGAAATTTTTTCTCGTAAAATTTAATTTGAACAGAGATATATGTAATAAGGTGTGAGTTTCCGGCTCATCTACAAATTCACACACCCTATTGTCTATGAATCATGGTTTAGATAGAAAAAGTCTAAAACAAATATGGTTTTCAGACTTTTGTTTTCTGTTCCAACTGATTCTAGCCATTCTAAATCCTATCAGAACTGCATTTAAGTAAGTCAAATGATTGAGTTTATAGTCGAACTTTAATTCTCATCAAGTAACATAAGTTATCGTTGTATTCTTCATCTTTTTTCTCTAGAGAAATGTTTCTTCATTTCGAATTTCAGATAATTATCAATTTAGCTTGCTTTTTGTTTCAACAAGGAAGTCATTGCCAACTCGTCTAGACTAAGAAAATATTTCCCAATAGTTATGGTTAATTGTCTCCTTCTTTTGAATAGATCAATCAATCTCATCTGCATTTTTCTAGATAACTTTGTTTTATTGAAATATAAGGTTACTCGATTTCCGTCAAAATGACTTTCTCCAATATGTCATTCCCTGAAGTCACATTTTCGCGAACATTCGCCATCGACGAAATTGAGAAACTCTAGATATTATCAGTTAAGTCTCCGAATCTTAAATAAATATATTTCTTCCGAATAAGTGAAAATTTAGACAAAATTGAAACTGGCTTGTATCACAAATATTCACTCTGTTCTTTAATTAACCTTAAGAAAATCTTGTATTTTTCGGCGAAAAAGAACAATTTCTACGTTTGGATATTTTGAACATAAATTTTCCAAAAGGTATTCAAAAGAAAAAGAGGATTTTGCAAGGTCACAATCCTTAAAATGATGATGATGATGCTGAAACCTTGCGGAACGCTGGTAGAAGTAGTTAATAGTTATGTCATTGGTTGTTTTAAAAACTATGCATCGAAAACAAAAACAAAAACATGTCTGTTAACTCCGACTGAAGTATTCGCTAGTCAAAGAAACATTTGAATTATAGCAATATGTGTGCGCAAATTTTTTCATTGCTAGTAAATTTATCGATAAAAATCTTGAACAAACTATTCAAATTCTTCTGAAAAGTCATGATTTTTATAAATACACTTATGCACTGATATCAAAGATTGGTTCTTTTTTAACTATTGCTTCATCGTAGATTGAGATGATTCCAGTGGATGATAAATTTAATTTCGTCAGCTGTTGTCTTCTTAAGAAGAATAGGTTCGTCGATGAAACAAAAACATTTATCAAATAAAAACTTCCATGATACTACAGACTACGTATGCTTTTTTTCTTTTGATATTGAATATAACTGTTGTTACTCTTTTCAACGAACTAGTGCCTTTAGTCAATATTAAATTCAAGTGCCAAACCTGTTTCTGTATTCTCTATCATTATAAGTATATCTATAGCCATTGGCACACTAATAGTTCATTCTAACACATCAGAAACATCAGACATTTTACTTCTTGTTTTACATGTGCTGTATATCTACGATGAATATAGGTAACAATGTTTTGGACTTTCTGCTTAAGAAAAGCATCAAATTTTGATAGCATTTGATATCGATATCTTCTAAATAAATCATTGGTTGAGAAAAAAGTTAGGAGAGTTAAAAATCCTTCACTTTGATCTGATTATCTATAGATGACTGAGTCAAATCGTTTGATCTGCCTCTTCTGCAGTTTTTGTCATAGATCTTTTAAAGTTCTACAAAAGATTTCTTTTTCTCTATCACATTCGTGTAGTTTTTGAATATAATAAAAGGCGATTGAAAAGTCTCGACTCCTATCAGTAAATTAATGGTAATTGATCGAAATATATGATTTCATAGAGGATTAGGGAGAGCTGCATCTGACAAGAAGATACTTTGACATGCATCAATATATTCCACTGCTTTTTTTTGGTATTTTATCAATTTCGAGTGAATCATTTCAGCTTACATTTTTGAGCAAAAATCTTTTTCATAAAAGCAGTATATCTTTGATCCCCACAAGGGTTTTATAGAAGACTTATCATTTCAATGAAATAATATTCATTTATTTCGCATCTCTTATTGAATTTTAAAAAGAACATTAAGATAATTTTAATGAAATCTGCAAAAATCGTCGAAAAATGTATCCAAGCTAGTAGAATATTAGACAATAAATTCCAAAACAGGAAACTTTGTAAAATAAGATTGTCAACATGAATGCCTTTAGGAATATAAAGAATATTACAAAACTATAATCATAATCAGCTAAATTGACGAATATTATTCCATTGAAAGGACACATTTTGTACTAAACCGTTTCGGATAAAGACACATACAACTGTTATGAGAAAAATTTTTCTAAAAATTCTTCTCAATGAAATGTAAGATGAAACTAGTCATAGAAGATTAGTACGATAGGAATAACATTGGATTAGATTGATGCATTCTACAAAATTACCTATTTTAATCACTTAACAGATTATAAATTCGTGATAGACACTCTTAATTCGCTGAGAGGGTCAAAATTTTCGAATCATTCTTAGATTAACTTGTCATATTTGTCTCTCCACATCGAAACGGAAATGAGATAAATACTTGTAAGGTTTTCTACATCAAACTATCAGCTGTAACTGAGAGTTTCTACACTGAAAAAACTGGTTTTGGTGTGGGTGAGTATGGATGAGGTTACAAAGAGAAGATTCACCCACACCCCACAAAAAAGCTTGTCAAGCTCGTGAGAATGTGCGTACGGCATATCTGAAATCCATTTTTCTTTAATTTCGTGCGGAAGATGCAAGAACGAAACAAAATGGTAATTAACAGCTGGCAATTTCCTTATATAGTTATAAATGACTTAGTATTTGAGTGACTATTGTTATCTCGCATCTTATATGCATATGCACGTTAACGATCATTTGTATAAACTAACTTTATCCATGAAAGAGTCTCACGTTAGTCTTAATGCGTATTTGTTCGTTTTTGGTTACTCTGTGCAGTCATGTGTATCATCATAGTTATATGAACCATATGATAACTGTTACTGACAGATCCAGGTGAATCCCTGTTTCCAGACACTATTCTTTCATCAACCCGTATTGCCATGACAACTCGCTTTTAAAGATGTCACTAGTTAGATCTTATATTAACAAAGATTGGTCTATATATCATCCACAAATTTCAAATGTATGTAACCTTCTTCTATTATAGAATAGTTATCTTTTTGTTCATGATGTATTAATGGAGCACGAATCATCCGTTGTTCGTCTACGACGAAAACTTAGTGAATTATCACAAGAGTATTCAAAAGAAAAACAAGTTCAACCACCAAGAAGTAAATCCGCTAATGGACGAGTTCCAGTATTAGATCCAAATGCTAGTTTTCGTTATCGACGAATGAGACGAAAAGTATTTAAAAATAAAACTTATCTAATTTAAATTACAAAGAAAAAAAAGAATTTTTTTCTAATGTCTAGGTTGATGTTCTTCGTACACAAATTGATACTGTCATAGAAGATAATTATATTACAACAACTGATAAAGATAATTCACAAAAAGAAATGATTCCAACACGTGATAATAATGATGTATCATTGAAAAAGAAATTGATAATGAGTGATGATCAAAATCTTGTCACAAGTGAACTTGTTCAAGTATTAAATAGTAAACAAACAAGAATTGATGAACTCGAACAACGTTTAAAACAAGTTGAACAACAAGAATCTCAATGGAAGGTAAAATAATATTCGTATAACAATCTGAAAAGAATTCTTTGTTTATTTTATTTTTTTGTCTAGATCAAATATGAACGAGAATGTAATCTTTGTGAATTATTACAAACAAGAATTGTTGAACTTGAACAAGAATTATTAGGTAGAAAATATCAATCGAAAATTCTTGGTCAATTACAAACAGATGTTAAACGACTTCATTCAGCTTTTGATGCCTTAGAAGTAAATTTAAAGAATAAGAATGATTCTGAATTTTTTTTTGTTTTTATTTTTAAATAGGTTGAAAATACTCAACTTAATGTTCAATTATCACTTTCTCGTAATACTCATCTATCATCACAACTTGATAAATTTCGATATGGTAAATATAAAACTGTCAATTTATTAAATAATCCGTTTATTTTTCTTTTCATGTCAAGAATTAGCGCACACATGTCACGAATCATTATGCTAGATCAGATATTATCGGCTAAATCATATCTATTCTCTTATCTACGAAATGGATATTAGTTTTTACTAATAGACAATATTTGCATCTTTAACATATCACTATAATGTCTTATAGATTTTTGTTTTTTTTTCTGAAGTTATTTCTTTTTTTTTCTTTTTTGGTTTTTATTTACATATTGAAATAATATTAGTCAGACTGAATAAATAATAGAATTATTATATAAAATGAATTTTTGTTGATTATGTTTTATTTATGACAGTTGAAGGAGATATTTTCATTAGTATTAGGTTTAGGTACTGGCACATAGAATCTCATTATAACAAAAGAACATGATGAAATGAAAGCGAGGACATAGACTTTAATCTGACTTGCTGATAGATATTAGAAAAATTATTTCTTGACGTACAAAGGTTAGCGAATGCAGAACAAATAAGTCTAACATTTGTTTTCAAGAACATGTGATGAAAACATCTATATTATCATTTAGACTCAATCGATCAAGTTGAAGAATGACATCATTTTTTTTTCGACAAATCAATAGATGATGACTTTATTCGATAATAAATGTAATACGGAATGATGACAGACAATCATCTCATCTTTTTATAAGCACAAAATTTTCTTTTCAAGAGAATTCTAGCTTTCAAGCTAAGTCAACTATGTAAAAAAAAACATGCATTTCTGTTTTTGAGTTATAATTTGATCAAAACATAACAATGAAAACCTAAAAAACAACGAAACAAAAAACAAATTTCATAAAAGCAGTCATATATACTCTCTATGTGTTTTTAAGTTATTTCTTACAACTTAATCATGATGATGAAGCATGATGTGACAATATAAGAAGTTACGAATATCATTATTACTATACTATTTAACTAAGGTGTTGACTTGATAAGAACATTTGAATTTAAATGAGTCGCGAAGAAGTAACACGTTCTTCGTCCATAACTGAGTCCTTACCATCTGATGATGGTGCATTATCTAGTTCCATAGTTCTTCAACATTCTCAACGTTTTAAACGACTTAAGCCATTAAATTTTTCTTTATTACGTTGGAATCTTCTTTGGTTATTTGTGATAGTAGTCTTTATTACATTACCTATTTGGCTTCGTTTTGCATCTCAATCATGTCAAGCTACATATTACACTATAATATCAATATTACTTTGGTTAGATCTCGTTTGGTTCTTAGCATTAGTATTTTCCATATATACATTAATTAAATTAAAATATGGAATGCTAACAGATCATAAACAAAATTATCCAGCTGATGCACCATTAATTCATTTACTTATATTAACAATATATAACGATGATATGGGTGTTATTTGTCGTACAGTTGATTCACTTGCTGAACAAACTGAAGCTAAACGTATTGTATTAGTTATAGCATGGGAATCTCGAACACCAGATCGAGAAGAACGTACTGAAACTATGCGTAATCGTTATTCAGATAAATTTTATTCTATAATTTTTCCTGTTCATCCATATGGTCTTGAAAATGAAGTAGCATCAAAAGCAGCTAATGCTAATTGGGGTTTAAGAGAAGCTGTACGTTATATAATGGCAGATGAGGAAAGAAAAAAAAAGACTGAACATGTTATGGTAACAACATGTGATGCTGATACATTATTTCATTCGAAATATTTTGAAGCTTTATCAGCTGATTATTTAAGATGTATTAAAGAAAATGATCCAGCTGTACATCGTACAATATGGCAAGCACCACTTTTTTATAATTGGAATTTAGATCAAAATTCATTTCCTGTTCGTATAACAGGTCTTGTTCGTTCTTTAATGACAATGGGTTTACTTATTCCATATAATGTTAATCCAATGTCATGTTTTTCATTTTCATTAACACTTGCTGTACGTGGAGGTTATTGGCATCCACAAATATTTATGGATGATGTTGGTTATTTATTAACAATGATGATTGGTAGACAAAAACGTATACGTATACGTCTTTTACCTGTTCCTGTTCGATCTGGACCAACATCAGGTGATAACTGGTTGAATGATGTTAAAGAATGGTATACTCAAGTACGCAGATGGGGCATTGGTATGAATATTTATTTTTCTTTTTGTTTTGATGAAACATGATCCAAAATCAGCAGATACGTCAGAAGTGGTTCATCGCAGACAGTTGTAGCTATGTCGCTCTTTCATCACAAATGTTATTGATATACTATCAAAGATTGCATATCAATAACGTCTCGTTACTATTTCCTTATTACATTTCTGAAGGCCTAAGTAAAAGAATGTTGAAAGAAATATGTCATGAAATAGATAGAATAGAACAGTTGCCTTGTGATTAGAAAGTGTAGCTGTTTCGTTTTATATATTTTAATATCATAGAGATTGCGTTATTAATTTCTTTATATTTGATGTTTTTTTAAATTTTTATTTTAGGTACAGCGGATAATTTTCATTATTTTGCAGTTAAAGTTCCTCGCTTACCAATATTAGCTTCATGTATTTTTGCTATTGGTTATTTTCTTTATTATGGTGTTATACTTTGTAGTGCAAGTCTTTTTAGTGTCTCATCAGGTTTTTTTCCATTACTTTGCCCCAATTTCGAATTACCTTGGTTACCAAAACAATTTCACGCTTATTATTTACACCTTTTAATTGCTATTATTATACCTCAGTTACTTTATGGTATTTTATTTATCCTAGATGCTATTTGGTGTAAATGGACATTGAATGTAAAAGAAGATATTTTTATTCTTCGAAATATTCTTCATTGGATTTTAACACCATTAACATTAATTGCATTAAGTTTAGTGCAATTATGGTCATATATTGTTTTAGCTGTACAAGGAAAAAAAGCTTGTATTCATAAATTAGCTGGTAAAGCTACATTAGCTCAAGTAGATAGTGGTGCGTGATTTAATTTTTATTTCTATTTTAATGCGAAAAGCAAGAAAATATATTTTTTTATTTAAAATAAAGATTTTTTTTTTGATTGATAACATATGAAGAATCTGTTAGAAACATTCAAGAGTTCTTTTTTTTTCTGAAATGTATATGAATTATAGAGGATCCTGGCAGATTTGGTGTTCTATCTTGAACTAGGATGTCATATATGTGATTTTTCAGAGCACTTGACGGTACATCGAATGGTATAAATATATAAAATCAAGTTTCATGAAAATTTTGGTTTTCTGTGGGTTCATATACTGATCAACATAATTCGATAACTTTGTACTATAGAAGACGTGCCCATCAAGGTGAAACTTTCTCAAAAACTGCACACTATTGAACTCTATATGTTTCACGCATAACATCTTTCGGAACTGTATGCAAGGGCCGGAATATTAATGATATTTTAGCAATAGTCAACGGACTCATTAAAAATTTTCATGTCTCTATAGGCAGCACAGCATCTATGATGAACTGATATAAATGAAAAAGAAATTTTGACATCCAGACTCCTCGACGGAAGTACAGGAAGATGGTCACAGGAAGGAGGCTCGCTATTTTTATTATTTGTTTTTCAAATTTTTATTTCGAGTATTCACCTTTGATGTTTGAATCAAACTCTATCAGAGCTTGTAAATATCTTCTATACATTTAAAAGAAAACATTGTTCATGTTTCTGAACCCTCTCGAACAGTCTAGAAAGTGAAATGTTTATTCTATTCATCAAGTGAAATGAGTTTCTGCTGTTTCGAAAGATGTTATATGTGACATAGGCAGAGTTCGATGCTGCGTAGTTTTTAAGAAATTTTCCGAAGGTACTCACTTGTTCTACCCTACAAACTTGAACAGATTGGAATATTAAATAGTCAAGATAATAACCTAGACTAAAGAAAAAAAAAATATGAAGAACACCAATAACTGTATTGAATTGAATTTAAAAATAAAATTTACATGAGTATATGTGAGAAGTCACAATATCTATGAGTACCATGTATATGAACCGTCAGAAAATCAAGATTTTCATAAAACCTTATCTCTTTTACACCATTGGATGAATCACACATTGCTCCACATAAGCACATATATGAAACCAATCCGATGGAGTTCTTTCAAAGAACAGATTGTTTTTGGATCGATCAAGTGCAATTGAAAAAAATTACAATAGACTGAAGATCTAAACCGAGATCATCAAACCTGTCAGATTGTGTGAAACAAATATAGGCTCTGATTGTTGAGCTTGTCTTTTTACGTTTCTTTTAAAATTCTCAAAAGAAAAAAAAAACACTTCATTTTTTGAGCAATAAATGTAGATATTTTAGTATAAAGTCAAGTATCTTTGTTGTTAATAGATAAGAAATTATTTTCTTTTATCATTATGACTGACTACAAAAATGGTTTATTATAGATTATGATTACGTTATTAATTTTTTTTCAGTTTATTCATTCATTTCTTGAAGTTACTGTTCGCATTTTCTAACTGACTTTTCTTATCATTGGGCATAAATCGTTGTTTGACTCTTACTATTGTAAAATGTCTGATTTCGATATGTCGTCTTCCATGGATTTGTGAAACATATTCAAAACATACTTAATTAAAATTAAAAATTGTCTTTTTTTTCAGAATATTGAATGCTTGTATTAATTATCTTATTTCAGTCTATATGGTTTTGTTATTGACGAAAAGTCGTCCTATCGAAATTTTTGATACAAATTTAATATATATATATAAAACAAGTGTTGAAGTTTTATTTTTCAATAATTTTGAATTCCAATCGACCTTTGATATTATTTATTTCTAATTTTTTTGCTAATAAAAATAATTTTTCCAAAAAACTTGAATTAGAACATATGAAAAGAAAAAAAAACGTAACTGTCATGCATATTATAATGGTCGAATAGTAACATGGAAACCATTACTTGCCCAATGTTTATCTCGAATATGTTCTTCGAATGCCAATTGTTCTTCTAAATTATGTTTTTCTAATGTTTGTTGACATTCTATACAATATTCATAATAAACATTGGTATGTTCGGTATCAAGATGATGAAGAAATTCTCCAAAACGATATAAAATTGATGATTCTAATCTTGTTTCAAATGGACATGCATGAAAAAGATGTTTTTTTGAGTAATTCATAACAACTTTATGATTTTCATTGGTTTTTTTATTTCCATTTTCATTTTGTAATCGTGTCATTTCCTTTAAAAATTGTTCAAATTCATTTATACGTTCAAATGATCGTACTTGTATATGATCTCTTAATTGATCATTATTATTAATTAATTGTTGACATACATCTTCATATGCTGGATGATGTTCAACAATAAGAATAAAATCATTATAAATATGATTAATTTGACCAAGTAGAAATGATATATTAAAATCAATACCAAGTTCTGATGTTGGAAAAAAGAAAACACCATGATTACTTGCTTCAATACGTTTTAAACGACGAATCATACCAGGTTCATTATTTGGATAGAATAAAAATACATCACTATTAGATGGAAAATTATCCATAAATCGTGGATATAATGCAAAACTATTTAAACCATTAACACAATCAATAAGAAAAGCTATTTTTGTTGGATATTTTTCAATCAATGTTGATGGATATTTATTTGTCATTTTTTTAAAATATAACGTAGATAAATATACGGAATACTGTTTTTTTGTGTGTCTGTGTGTGTATTTAAGAATCTTACCCTGCGACTCGGCAAGTGAGAGTGTGTGTGTCTGTGTGTGAGACAAAAGAATAACGAAAACACAATTGACTTTTTTTTGTCATTGCACAATTCATATAAAAAAGTGCACATGCAGCGTTTGCCTCTCTTTCTTCATGTTTTTATTTCGACGGGTTCCGCTTTTTATTTCAAGGTCAGAATAAATGAATCATCAGGTGTATTTTAACAAGGACTGCAAAAAGTAAAAAAATTGTTTTGCATTTCACAATAATGAGTAACAGAAAATCTAAAGTATCGTTGACAATTCCACTTAATTTGTAGTGCTATTGTTCATCATAATCAAGATATTAAAATAAGTTCAAAGTTATTTCTCAATCATAACAAAACAAAAAAATTCCAATATAACCTTCATTTTTATTATATTGAAACTTATTTTAACCACATAGATATGTATATATAGATATTATCTTCATTTTTTTTCTTTTTTTTTTCTATATATTCATTTATCAATTTATATTTAAGTGTTTGTTATGTGCCTATACATGAAGTGTTTTCTGCATTTGACTAAAGTATAAATTCATAAGAATAACTTCTTAACATTGTGTCCATGATTTATCCTTTTTAATCCCTATTATTGATATCCATTATCACGTATTCATATAAGTACAATATATATATTGCGGGAAAGTAATTTGTTATCTTATGAATTCATCATGAATGATCGTATACAATACGAGAAAACGAAACATCATATATTTTGAAATATTATTGAATTAATGAATATTGACTGTAAACCAATTAGTTATGTATGGATTCTCTGCATGATTAATTTTTATATGCAAATCTACATATATATTTATTGTATAATATATACATGTTACTTTTTTTTTCTCAATAGAATACTTCATTTATTAATTTGAATCGTTCAAATTCAAACAATATTTTTTCTTCAATTCGTATTCGAAATAGGAAACAAATTTTCGTTTTACTGACAAAGAAAAAATATGATTCTATCATAAACTAGATCGTTACAAATGAAGTTTTATCATAAACTTTTTATGATATAATTGTTATTTCATAATTTTTTTCCATGTCCAATCATTATCCATTTTCATTGCTATCGGGATCATTCATTAACATTTATTGATGTGTAACACATGAGATTATTTGTCGTTCATAATGAATATTACTCGACACAAGAATATTCTATTCATGAAATAAATTCATTAAATTTTACAGTTAACAAGAAAATGCGTAACTATTTGACAAAAAAAAAATTTCCTGTGATCTTCATCACTTATTTGATTAATAAACATCTTTTTTTTTTTTGCACTTGTCTAGTCTAAATAATTTTCCGGTAGTATTTTTTTTTGTTTTCCAATGGTCATGGTTGAAAATAAATAAAAGAAGATTTATTTTTTTATTTATTTATTTTGTCAAAATGATGTTCTATTGAACTGCATAACCAATTGATATATATATATAGCTCTATATAATATAATAGCTTTTGTTATGGTTAGTCATACGGATCAATTGACATGAACGACATTGTTATCGATTTAGCTAACATAACGATGAGTTGATGATTGAATGAATTAAACCCTTAGGCGGTTCGTTTTCTAAATGGTCTTATAACGATTGAGTAATCGATACGGTTGAATCTATTTTTATAGACATTCCATTTTCGATCATTCTTCATCGTTCAAATGATCACTCATGACTTGTTCGTTTCGTCTTTTTTTTTCACACGACGATAACGACGAAACAAAAAAGAAACGATAGAGGATGAATAGACTAATTTCATATGGTCAACCAATAGGTGCGGGAGAGAGACAGAGAGGAAGAGAGAGAGAGAATCGACGCGTCATTCATATATACATATATATATGTATATAAATTGAAACTTGTTAAAAATTAGGCTCATTTTATTTGTCCGTAACGTCTGCTGTCTATAAAACACATAAAACGACAATCATCATTATCATGTGGCTTTTTCTTATAGCCACTTTAATTTTATTTCGTAAGAATTTAGATTTTTCAAATAAAACAAAATAATGTTTTTCGTTGATAATTTTTTAGCTTTTACTAATTGTTTTCATATATCAAATCTTTGTCAAAATAAATGTTTAAATAATGGTACATGTATAATAAATCCTGAAGATAAGCGTGAATCATGTTTATGTTCAAAAGCATTTTCTGGTGATCGCTGTCAAATAAATATAGATGAATGTTCAAGTTCACCATGCCGTCATGGTGGTTTATGTATAGATGGTCTTGGTGAATTTATCTGTTCATGTCCAGAAGGTAAGACTTTTCCTTTTCAATTATTTCCATTATTTGATAAGATGTGCACATCCGGATGTCGTCCTATTCACATCTAGACAATAGAATGTACATATAAAATATGTTAAGGTTTCATTACACTTGACAAACGTTTTTTTTCTCACACACAATCGGATGAGTGATTTGCAATTCTCTATTGAATTGAATACATATATGCATATATATATATATATATATAAAAGAGATGTATATGTACATTTGTTGTTATACTTGAAATCAATAAGGACTCTCTTTATAAATGTTCAAATGCGAATGAAACAAATAATTCAGATGATATTTGAGAATTTTGAAATGAAGTGGAACAAATAGGCACGCGTACTATTAACACATGAAAATATTTCTTCCCATAATTATTCTATATGTATATAAATATCTAAGATAGAGATCAGTATCTCACACGTATTTATTTGATTGAAAACAAAAAAAGAGCATCACACTAAAGTCAGCGGTGTGCGTGTCGCCGGTTTAAAACGGCGGTATATATCAAAGAAGATGCACATGTCTGTGATGAGATCGTAATCTCACGGTTTATTCCCACCGTATGTTTTTTTTCTTTTTCTATCAAGTCTTTGCGATATCCTGTTTTTATTTTTTTTGTCTATCGGCAATAATAATAGATTATTCTTGTTTTTTTTTTGTTTTGTATATAATTAAATAAACTCTTATACATATGCTTTTATCTTTTATTCAGGATACGAAGGACGTTTTTGTGAAATTCCTATTGATCCATGTCAAAATAATCCATGTGAAAATCAAGGCACTTGTATACGTACAGCATATAATAATAATTTTCGTTGTGTTTGTCCAACAAATTATTCAGGTCGTTTATGTCAAATATTAATAAAAAATTTTTGTGTATCATCACCATGTTTATCAAATGCAACATGTGAAAATTTACCTCATGGTTATCGTTGTTATTGTTCAACGGATGATTTATGTGATAAAACTAAAATTAAAAATGTAACTTGTTCAATATCATCATTAAATAATACAAATCAATGTGTATATGGTACATGTCTTAGTGGAAAATGTAATTGTTTTCCTGGATGGACAGGAGATTTTTGTTCTGAAGATATTGATGAATGTAAAATGAATCCATGTAATAATGAAGAAACATGCTATGTAAGCATCTTACAAAAAAATTTCGATTGTGATTATTGTTTCTATCGTAGACGCGATATGAAAATTGAGGGAAGGCTAACATCTCCCACATCGACATCTATGGTTATGATTGATGAATAGTATCATTTTATAAGTATCTGATCGTATATGACATTATTTATCATAAAGATAAAGATTCAAGTATTAGTCTTTCAATGAAGTGGAAAACACTGCATACATCTTACGAGGAAACCTTTTCTAATTTTCTCTTCAGATTTTCAATGATTTATGAAGACTTCAGACATTTAGGAAACTCATATTTTCGAGCTTCGATCTGAAATTTGACGCATAGACAGAACTCAACTAGACTAGTTTCAATAAATTTGAACAGTCTCTTCGAGATGTAGAGCTTTCAAAAACTATGTTGTATATACTCTTCATAGTGAAGGTCAATAAGTGGAAAGTTTCATACCTTGAAAAGATTTCGTTCAACACTTAAATTTTCCTCATGGAAGTTAATCCTAAAGAGTTCTCTATATACAGAAAGTTTCAGATTGAAGGTCGAAAATACGAGTTTTTGGAAAATCTGAGACCTTTAGAGAGAAAAAAATCGATAGATTAGTGGAATCTTAATAGATAGGCAAATCCTTTTAGAAAGTTTATTAGAACGCTATATATTATCTACAGGCAAGAACAGAAACATTCAAAAGACAATTTTTCGAATACGTACTAAGGAAAAACTAAGAAAGTACATGATAAACATAAACTCGTGTAAATATTCCATGATAAGCTCTTGTAGTTTTATAAAGTGAAATATTCATGCTTTTACAGAAAACAAGGTTCTTTCGTTGGTATTGAAATCAAACATGGGATACCTTTTGTAATGCAAATTTTTTTTGTATTGTAGAATACTCCAGGTTCATATGTATGTTCATGTCCACCAGGAACAACAAATAAAAATTGTCAAAATATTCAATGTGTTGACTCATCTTGTTTAAATGGAGGAATCTGTTCTCAGAAAGATAATGGTAAAAAGAAATTGGTTGAACATATTTGATTAATTGTTAAAATAATATACTCATTTTTTTTAAAAGGTATATCATTTTGTCAATGTCCAGCAAATTTTTATGGGCATCATTGTGAACTTCTTGTTGTAAATACTCGTCATAATCAAGCAACAATTGATACATGTTTAATAAATAATTGTTCATTAAAACGAAATAATAATCGATGTGATCCTGAATGTAATGTTGCAAAATGTCAATTTGATAATTATGAATGTACATTAAAACGTGATCCATGGGATTTATGTCCAATAAGCGATTGTTGGCGTTTATTTCGTAATGGACAATGTGATGAAAAATGTAATATCAAAGAATGTTTATTAGATGGTTTTGATTGTGATCGACAATTATTAACATGCAAGTAAGTTGTATAGTTAATGATCATGTGTTTTTTTTTGTTGTTGAATAAAATAATTTGTTTAGTATAAGTTATTGT